AAGGAGAACCTCTGGCCACCAGCTTTCGAGGCTGTCAGCTCAGCTGGTGTCTGTCAGTGCTGGCCCCTCTCCTAGTAGCCCTGGACTCTCAGAGCTGGCTCCATAGGTGGCCAAAGGTGGGCCCTTCACTTGAAGTATGAGGACAATAGCAGCAGAGACAGAGCTGCATGTCTGGTGTGTGGGAGGCTGCCCTGCTGTGACTCCTCATGTGTCTGTGCTGTTTCAGTCCCTCCTCACAGGCTACCCAGTCCTCTCCAGGACCCCAGTAACACCCCAGGCACCAAAGACGGTTCCCCCCCAGCCTGGAGGTGAGGTGGGGCTGGGGAAGGCAGCTCCGAGTGCTGCCAACTCCCTCGCCAAGGACTCCCTGAAAGCAGCCCTGGCCAACAGCTCAAGCAGTGACAGCAGTGACTCTGACACAGATGACAACCAGGTGGCTGCAAACCACAAAGCAGGTGGGTGTCCTTTGGCAAGGCTGGGAGTTGGCTTGGCCCAGGAGCAAAGCTGTGCTGGCACAGGAGGGTGGCACTGGGGCAGGCCCCGTTCCCAGTGTGTCTCTGCCATGGAGGCACAGCGTGGAGCACTGCTGCCGTCTGCTGGCTTCCCTGGCCACAGCACAGCCTTCTCCTTCTACACCCTGTGTGTGCAGCTCGGTGCCTTTGCCTCTTCCAAGATGTGCTGTAACCACAGTAATTAACAGGAGCAGGTAGGGCTCTCCCTGGGGCCAGTGCACACTGCATTGCTGGCTTCTGTGGAAGACTCAAACACTGCCTGAAGAACATCTGCTGCACAGTGCTGGTATTCAAGCCTCCCCTTGGGCTGTGTGGGCTCTGCTGCACGTCTGGAGAGCAGAGGAGGGGAAGCAAGCGAGAAGACCTGTGAGGAAACAAAACGTTCCACCATTTCCCTGGTTTGTTGGCAAATTGTAAAACTTGGAGATAGAAGCTACTTCTGCTCTGGTGTGACCCTGGCACCTTCAGATGAACTCTGGCCCGCTGTAGAAGTTCAGATGGGTCTGTTGGTCCTTTGGGCACATCATGAAATTGTGCAAAGGGCTATTGAGGAAGTCAGAACTATTTGTATAGGGGCTCAAGAGGGCCCAGGGGCTCTGGGCTTGGCCATTGGTGGTGATTGCAGGAGGCAGTGTGGAGACCCCCACCACCTTGGGAAGTCCCCAGCTTACTGGGGATGCTGTCATGGGGAAGAACTGCTCCATCTATGCTCACTCATTTTGTCAAACAGCCAAAGCTGTTGTGGCTGTTGTCACTCGCTTCAGGCTGAGGCATCTTACTCCAACTCTGCTTCAGATGCCAACAAGGTTAGCTTTTTTTTGGGAGAAGAACTGGATGCTTCTCTTCAAATGCATATTTCTATCCTCCTGTGATTAGTCTGTGTAATGAATACTGCCTGAATTTTCTTCTCTGTTTTTATCTGTTTCTGCAGAAAACAACCCCACTTCGGGGCAGAAAGCTACAGAAACCTCCAACAAAGAGAAGGTGGCAGGAAAACCAGAGCCAGGTCATGCCAGCCTCAAAGCTTCCTCACTGAAGAAAACCTTGGTGATGAAAGAGAACAATGTTGGGGCAACAGGGGTGCAAGTGACCCCAGCATCATCACATGCCCTGCTCTCCGTCCCACAGTCACAGCAGCCAAGCTCAGGGAGTGAAACTGAGGTCACCACTGCTGCTGAAGTCCCTGCAGTGCAGACAGAAGAGGGGTTGGAAGTGAAGAAGAAGAAGAAAAAGGAGAAAAAAGAAAAGGAGAAAAAGGAGAAAAAAGAAAAGGAGAAAAAGGAGAAAAAAGAAAAGGAGAAAAAGGAGAAAAAAAAAACATCCTCCACAGCAGACAAGGCTGTGAAAACATCCAAGAGCAAAGACAAAGAGAACAAGAAGCAGAAAACGTCTCAGAAGCGGAAGCTGACAGGAGAGGATGGGGCTGTGGGGCAGCCCAAGGAGAAGAAGCAGAAAGGACAAGCTAATGAAGAAGTACCCAAAAAGAAAAAGAAGAAAACAGATGGTGACCTGGAGAAGGAGGCAGGCAGCAAGGAAAAGAAAAAAGCAGCTAAAAGTAAGCATCTGCACTTGGGGCCTAGTTTGCAATAGGTTCTTGATTGCACTTTAAGCCTCTGGTGCAGGGCCTTGCAAATAGCACCCACTTCCCACTGGCTTCCTGCTTGGCTGCTTCCCTCATGGAGTCAGTCATGTGGCTTGAAAAAGGTCTCTTAAGATCAGGTCCAACCATTAACCCAGGCCCATCCCCAAACCATGTCCCCACATACCATATCTACACATCTTTGAAACGCCTCTGAGGTTGGTGACCACATTGCTGCCCTGGACAGTATGTTCCAGTGTTTTAACAATCCTTTTAGTGAAGAATTTTTTCTTGAATATTCAACTTAAACTCGCCCTGGCTCATCTTGAGGCTATTTCCTCTTGTCCTGTCACTTTTGACCCTTATACAGCTTGTTGTTCTGTAGTGGCCTGCTCTCTGCCCTAATCCAAAGGCCATTTTTTTTTCTTTACAGTGCAGCTTGTATTTGCAAATCAGAGCTGTTTTTGTGATGGATCTGGTAGGCTTTAAAGAGAAATGGAGAGAGGGGATGTGGATGGGCTGGGCCAGGTCTGATGGTGTTTCTGTTCTGCTGAAACAGCCCTTATTTTTGGAGGAGACAGACTTGTCTGTTAGCCCCTATTGGTGTGAGGTGTTTAACAGGGATGAGTGGAGCCTCTTGAGCAGTTATGCTGAGCTGAACCTCGTGTCCACCCTGTGTCAGCAGCTCCCCTGGCTCTCATTTCTGGCATGTTCCCATCTACTCCAGCCCTGAAGCAGCTCCTTGGAGCAGGTGGGCAGCAGCAGGTGGAAAGAAGGGAATTCTGTGTAGTTCCACCCATATGTGTGCACAGATGTTGGGATCAAGCTGCTCTGGCTCAGGGGTATTAGGAAAACATCCCTGGGTGAAGCTGCCTGTGGGTAGAGCTCTGCCTTCAACCAATTCCTGCTCTGGAAATTTTGCTCAGATTTGAATGTGATCAAAAACTTCCTGGAGATGCTTCTACCAGTCTATGCTCCCTCTCATAGGCTGACAATACTAGAGTTCCTCTCTTAGTTGGCTTTTCTTTCCCACTCCTAGAAAAGAAGACTGAAAAAGAAAAGAAAAGCAAAAAAGCATCTTTGGAAGTGGCAGCTGTAGCAGATGGCTCTGCTGAGGTGCACAAGAAGAAGAAGGTATGTGTCACACCTTGGGCTGTGGTGCTCATCCCAGCAGGAGAAGTGAACAGAGCCATGTCCTGGCCTTGCTGGCAGTAGAGGGAAGCCTACAGTTACTGTGGTCAGTCTTAAAACACCCTGACCTTTGGTTGGGATTAGAGCGACTCAAAAGGCTTGTTCCTGCATTGCTGCCCTAGGAGATTCCTTTCCCTGGAATGGTCAAACCCAGGGACCTTTTGGTGGCAAAGGACTTAGTCCTGTCTAAGGAGTAAGTGCTGCTCTCCAGCTGTCTGCTCATCTCATTCTCAGCAGAAGCTGGAGCTCCTGAGGGCTTGGGAGGCTTCTGCATCCCATCCCAAGGGCTTGAAGGGGTGGCAGAGGGAGACTACAGGATGTTCTTTGTGGTGGCTGCCACCTCTACAGGGACATGTCAGTGAAGCCTCTCTGGCTCTGCTGGGTCCTTTGTGTCTGTGGTGCAAATGATACTGATGTATTTTTCCCTTTTCCATTTTAGAAGAAGAAAGGAGCTGAGCCTGAAGGATTGTGAGAAGGTACATGGCCTGTGGGGACGGGCCATTGGTACCCTGGCGGCGTAACCTTGGCCACGTTCAGAACTCCTGGGCCAGTTTTGGGAAGACAGTGTGACCTCTAAGAGCTCACTGGGCCAGCCTGGCCTTGGATCAGAGGGCCAGGGAGTGGAGCAGTGTGAGGAATGTCATGCAGCCATGTGCTCCTTCTCTGGATGTGTCTGACCTCAACTCTTTAGCTGCTGAGATGTCCAGCCTGGGTGTTGCTGACCTCTGTCACCAGCAGACATGAATGGCTTCTGGCAGTGTCTGTCTGTCCCTGCTGACCACAGGGAGCTTGGAAAAGTGATGGGGATTAGAGGCTGATGTTGTAGCCACCTGGAAGTGGACCAGTTGCCTTTGCTCAGTTGCAAGGCTGCTCTCCTCCTCCCCATCCCTAACTTTTAACTCCTCTCCCCAAAGGTACCGCATTCCTGTGCTTAAAGATTTATGGGTGAAGATCAAAGAGAAGAGAGGAAAAGGAAGCTCACCTGGAGAATTCCAACTTTTTTTAAAATAATAATTTATAATTTCTTTTAATTGTGACTTTTAGAACAGAGTTGTGTAACCTGCCTCCTCCTGCCCTGCTGAGGCCCAGAGATGTGTTTATAATCCCTCCAGATGGACTGGAACTGGAGGAGGCAGTTTGACCAGAGCAGAGCATAAACTGCTTTTCCCTTTGCTGACACCCAGCCATCCCTTTCTCTTACCACAGAGCTATATTTTTGAGAAAATCTTTTACCTTTTTCCCTTCTCCTGTGACTTGTGGTGTCAGTCCTTTCGCACCTACAAAGAAAGCTCTTGGGTTTCCTTTTTATTCCAACACTGACAGTGGTGATTATCATGTCCCTGGAGTTGCACTGAACAGTTGTGACCACAGCTGTTCTCAGCCAAGGCAAGAGTCGTTTTTTGGTTTTGTTTTTTTTTTTATGAAATATAAAATAAAAAACAACAAACAGCTTTTACTTCAGCTGCTTTTGGGGGAGGCCAAGGCTGGCTGGCTCTGGAGGATGTTACGGGTGGGAGAGCAGAGCCCAGTGTCTGCCTGTCTGGGACAGGGGGACCCCAGGTACCCATGAAATCAAACAAGGAATGGGACACAGAACACGTGGGTGCAGATACAGCTGTCCAAGTGCCTGCAGAGGTTTTTCTTCATCTCTTTTCTCTTGAAGTTAATTCATTTATAACCTTGCACAGCTGCAAACAGCACGCGAAGCTCTGCTGGAGTTGCTTACAAGGCTTTCTTATTTAAAAGTTTATTTGAGCTTATTAGCTTGTGAGATCATTTGTAAAGGAAGAATCAGATATATTCAGGAAAATCAGAAGCCCCTCTGCCCATGGCTACCCACTGCTGAGGCTGTAGGCAAATCTCTATGTACAAATCCAAGCACTCTGCAATAAAAACCCATTACTCCAGTAATCTAACGGGGCTTCAGCCTACAGGGATCAGTTAAGAAGCTGCTTTTAATGTTTGTTCAGTCTAAGGAAGCTTAAGTTCTTCAGCAGGGGTGAGCTGCACTGCTGCCTGGGTGTTGTTGGAGGTTGAGCCAAACAGAACAGGATTTATGGATCTGAGGTGGTCTCCAGCCTGCTCTACCCACCCTCTGAGGGGACACTGATGGTGGTGGCAGCTCTGCAGCCAGGGAAGGGTGCCCAGGGACGCCCACTGTTAACTGCCTTGGAAGAGCAATGTAAGAGCAGAAAAGAAATAGAGAAAATAATGCAGGAGCTGAAGGGGCAGGGATGCTGAAGGCAACTGCTGGCATCCTCTTCTACTCTCCTGTGGGAGAACAAGAGGAGGTAGTCAGTCAAACAGCTCAAGGACTTCCCAAAACCCCTCTCCTCACAACCTCCCCCTCTCCAGTAGTCCCCAGGACTTTGGGGACACTTGGACACTCACCTTTGGCTGAGTTCAGCTTAAGCATGTCCACCCCAGAGAAGATCATCTCCTCTGGATCTGGGGTGCCAGCAGCAGGACTGGGAGGAGCAGTGCCTGCAGAGGGAGGGCAGGATGTGTGTGCAGGACCCTGGGCTGCCCCATCACCCACCCCCATCCCTCTGAGGGCAGCAGAGGAGAGCCCGCACCCACTGCTGAGCGGGGGGCTCATGGAAAACCCTGACTGCACACCTCAGCCCCAGCTACCTGCGGGGGGCTGTGGGTTTTGGGGGTCCCTTAAAGCCTTGACATACTGGCAGTGGATGGGTGAGGGGTGCTCCCTGAAGCCTAGATGCCCTCCTCTCCTAGCTCTCCTCCCTACTCCCAAGCAGTCCATGCACACTGCTCCTTCCTCTCCATCCCCTCCCTGGCGACCTACCGGGGCACTCCAGCTTTTCCCGAGTGTCAGTGTCCTTAATCTTGGTGCCATTTTTGTAGCAGCACCAGCAGAAGCCGGTGGTGAAATTGCACTGCTTGGGCAGGTAGTCACCATTCTCATCGCACTGGGGGCGGAAGTGGCCCACCAGATCAGTCCCAAAAGTGGCCTCTGCTTGGCACTTAGTTAGCACTAGGGCAACAGAAACAGAGGGGACACTGTCAGCCCTCAGGCCCTTCTCAGCAGGAGATCCTATCCAGAAACAGTTAAAGGTGAATAAGCTCCTGCTCAGTGACCTTTCTGAAGCTCTTGGTCTAACCAGGGATGGAGGATTTGGAGTGGGGCTCCAGCCTTTTTTTCATCCCAAATGCCCTACAGGGAGTGGGCAGAGATGCCCTGTGATGTTCTAACAGCCACAAAACAGGGGCTCCCCATAGAACAAATAGGTCCATGACTGGAGGGAGGGCTTGGTTCCCTGTGAGGTGTCCCATGCCAGCACCTCCCTGATTCCCTGAGCTCCCCAGCTCAGCAGTCCCATCCCCAATACCTTTCGCTGCTGGGACTGCCTTGCGGTCCTCCGACTGGGGGTTCTTGGCCATCTCGAACAGCAGCCACTTGTGCATCCAGGACTCGAAGGACTGCAATGACAGGGTCCAGCACGTTCATGGGCATGGGGGGAGTTCACCCCAGGGGAGCCATGTCATGAGCTCTGGCTTGGACAGGGAAGGTGGTGAAGACCATCCCCTTCCTTTGGGTAGGAGCAGCCCAAGCCTGGCTAAAGCCAGACTTTGTTTATCCTTATAAGCAGATGTGCCTTCCCAGAGCACTCCAGGACAGCAGGCAGGTGGGACAGGATGACACTGACCTTCCAGTCCACATGAGTCATGGTGCTCCGCAGGCGCTTCAGGTTGTCCATCAGGTTGTCCTTCAGCTCCGGGAACATCTTGCTGGGGTCTGCTTGCTGCAGAGCAACCACCACAGTGAGGGCAAAGAAAAATGAGGTGGAGGGGTGGGGGTTGGAGCTCTGCTGGTATCAGCCAGACAGGTGCTGCAGGAGGTCAGAGCTCCCACCAGCTCCGAGCACCCCCAGAGACCCCAGACCAGTTCAGGAGGCGGCTGTGGGCTGGGGAACCTTACCAGCAGCACGTGCTTCACTAGGTCCTCAGTTTTGTTGCTAGCAGGGGCCTTGGCCTTGAGAGAAAAGGCAAAGGGACAGTGTGAGCATGGCAGCAAGGCCTGAAGGCAGCAGGCAGTGCCAACCAGCGGTGAACTTCTCTTACCGAAAAGTCTTCAAAGGGTGCAGGATGCAGGGCACTCATGACCAGAGGTGTGTTTGCCTTGGCCATCTTCATCTTATTCACTGGCTTGGCATCTGCCAAAGAAGGAGAACTGTGAGGGGACCCAGTCGGGTTGGGTGATCTGGGAGGGTCCGGAGGGATTCATCCCTTCTCCCCCTCCACCTCCCAGCACTCTGGTGTTCATGGGGCTACTGACTGGCAGGCAGCTTCCTCTGCAGAGCCTCCAGCTGCAGGTTCTGCGAGGTCTTGGTCAGCTTGCTGATCTGCCCACTCTGCTGGTACACGTAGTAGATGGTGACAGCCTGGCCGACAATGAGCAGGGCCACCAGGATGGAGAGTGTGGAGAAGGCGGCTTTGCGCCCCAGCCCAGACCTGCAGGACACGGACAGGGAGCTCAGCCACCCACCGTGAGCAGGAGGTGACATCCTGCTGTCACCCCTCCCGGCCCCCAGACACTCCTGTCACGGGGGTTTGCAGCCAGACAAATGCAAATTCCCCCCTTGCAGAGAGCAGAAGTAAAACCTCAGTGCCCCTCCACACCAGGAACTGAAACCCACTGTGGGGCGGGGGAAGTGGGGACAGGGGAGGGGGGACGAAGGGCACGTGGGTGGGGACAAGGCGCTGCCAGGGGATTTTGAGGAGCAGCATCACTCTGGGCATCGCCTTTTGCGGGATGATGAAGCCACTCGGAGTCTCGCTGGTCCATGGGGCAGAGGACACGACTCATGGGACGCTGTAGTGCACAGTGTGGCAGTGTGGGGGTGCAGCGGTGCCCCGGGGCTCAGCCGTGCCCCCGGTGCCCGGGACAAGGGACAAGGCCCGAGCGGGACGCGCGGCGCGGGCGTCTGCCTGGCGACTGCTGACGTCACCGCTCCAGGGCTCCTGATTGGCTACGAGTTATGGGGGGGTGTCCCCCCTGCGGGGTTGGGACACAGGGACGAGTTGGGACATGGGGGAGGCAGCTCCACAAAGACTTTTGGGTCCACGGTCCGCTCCCGCCCCATGGCCACGTCATCGGCCTGCCCGTCCCACAGCCTCTTCCCACAAAGCTTCAAGCCACGGCTCCATGCCCCACCCTGCGAGCACGGCCACCCCACCACCATGCCTTGTCCCCGGCGGCCCAGAGGGGCAGTGACCCCTTTCATCCCGCTGCCACTCCGTGCCCTCCCAATCCCATAGGCACCCTTTTCCCCCATCCCACAGCCGCCCCATGTCACCCTCCCACTGCCGCCCCATGCCTCCCATCCTACAGCCACCCAATTCCCCCATCCCAGAGCCACCCCGCGCCTCTGCCTTGCCTCACAGACCCCTCCACGGCCCTCTTAGCTCCACAGTGCCCCATTCCCACAGCCTGCGCCCCATCATCTGCCCCATAGTCACTCTACGCCCCCTTTACCCGACTGTATCCTCTTCCATCCCACAACCACGCAATACCCCCTGCCCCACGTCCCCACTGTGCCCACTTCACCCTCCCCCTGCGCCCCAACCCCGTGTCCCCAGCAGTGGCACCTCTGGGTGTCCCCAACATTGAGCACACCGCTGCCGCGGTCAGAGATGAGGTCCCGCTGCTCCTCAGCCATGGCTCCGCTGGGCTCCCCGAAGGCAATGAGCACCCCGAGAGAGGCTTCTGGAAATACCCTCGGGTCCCCACCCCGCCCTGACACCCGCGGGGGGGAAGCAAAAAAAAAGTCCTATTGGCTGCTGGCACTTGCATCACTCGTTGTCAGGCAGACCTCTGCTCCAGAGGTCTCCAGTTCAGAAATGGTGCTGGACACAGTCGTGAGCTCCCCGGCCGCTCAGTGGGGTTCACTGCCCACCCTACACCACCAGCAGGTCACCGTGCCCAGCTGGTGACACCGGTGCCATGGGCCCAGAGGCTCTGGTACCCCTGGCGGGGCAGGAGGTGAGAAAAGGTAGGTGGCAGTGGGGAGGGTGATAGGAAATGTGTGAGGAAGGAAGCAGGGTGCAGAGCTGGGACAGGGGGGTGGGACACCATGGAGAGGACCCCTCTCACCAGAAGCTGAGCAGGACCTTCTGTGGGGGCACAGTGCCAGGATACACCCCTCCTCTTCCCCTGCTGCAAAAAAGCTGCACTCGGGCTCAAGCCCTTCTTGAGGGTCACTCTGGACTCTCCCTGTGTGGGGGTTCTTGGCCAGCACTTCTCAGGCTGAGAGGGCAGTGACTAAAGGATCAAGGGCTTTCAAGCCCTCCTCCCTTCTAGCACTATCCTCTCTGCTTTGCCTGCAGCAGCTTCCAGGGGCTGAACCCCCAGAGCCAAGACAGGAGGAGCAGCCCCTAGATGTGAGTGATCCCAAAGCACCAGTGGGAGAAGGGCAATGAGGGTCTCCAGCCCCTCCACAGCCCCACAAGTGCTACATGGGCAGGAGCAGCCATCCACCCCACGATGGTGGTTTCTGGTGGTGTTACCCAATGTCCCAGAGCAGCCCTGGGCTAACAGACCCCGATGCCCACGCTGGGCCAAGGGTCACACTGAACCCAGCACCAAGCTGGCTCCAGTGTCAGGACTCAGCACAAACATGGCCAGAGCTCAGCCAAAAGTGAAACTGCAAATATGGAGTTAAAAGTCCTACCTAACCCTGCCTAACCAGGCACCACCTGGCAAACCCACTGGGGCGAGCAGGGACACCTTGTTTCAGCAACTCCATTTCTTTTCCTGATTCAGTCCTGAGCCTCCCAGGGGCCGGACAGCCCTGGGAGAGCAGACAAAGGGATCATTTCAAAGCACTTACAGGGGGTAGGGCAGGGACTCCTGGCAGATGCTGTTCCTGGAGGAAATGTGGTGGCATGATGCTCCTGCTTTCCAGGTGGGAAATTGCAGTTCCAGCCAGGGGGAGGGTTGTGGTGCCTGGAGCCTGGTCCTGACCCTGCAACCCAGCTGAGAATGGCCTGCGTGCCCAGGGGTTCACACAGCACTGCCCCAGGGCACCCATCAGCCTCACCCCAGGCCCATAACAAAGCTGTGTTTAGAAACCATCAGAGGGGTTTGAAAAGAAAATAAAAAGGGAGAGGGGATTGAGAGAATAGAGAAGAAAGAGAAGAAAAGGGAAAGAAAAAAGGGGGGCAAAAGGAAAGAACACTAAAGTCTTCCATGCATTTTTTTCCTCTCCCCTCATGGGCACTGGGACTTTTGGGGAACACACAGGTTTTCCTCACAGCTCCAGCTCCCACTCAGCTCCTCATTTTGGTGCCACAATCCCTGCTCCTGGTGCATTCCGTGACCAGCCTCAGCTGTAAGGGGAACCAGAGAAAGCCTGAACAGGAACTTCACAAACAAAACCCCAGCGATTCCATGGAACTGGGCTGGCTGTGCAAACCACAAACGTGGGTGATAACTCGGGGGTGGGGAACAGCCCCCTTCCCAGGCAGGCTGAGCCCCTCGAACCCCAGCCTGGAGAAGGACTGTCTGCCCTAATTCAGCCTCTGCTCCACACACAGACATATCCAGTCAGCTCTTCAGTGCTTCATACTCAACTTTCTGCCCAGGGCTGACACCTGGTGTGTTCTCAGTCTGTGAATTGATTTTCCAGGGAAGACAAAGACACTTTCAGAGAGCAGCTTCCATCCTGTCTGACCCTCCTCACTCTCCCACTGCCTGAAGCTGGCAATGAATTGTCACCACCCTGTTACACCAAGGCTTTGTATTTGATGTTGCCCATAAAATCTTCACCAGCATTTTTTTGGGGAAAAAAAGCCATCTGGAGCAAGGAGTGATTTCAGGACTCTGATGAGGACCAGGCCAGCAGAGCAATTATTTCAGGCAGTGAGGTGGAATAACCCAGCAGACATCCACAGGAAGCCATTCATCACCAGTTGGGCCTCATCTCACAGCCCTCAGCCCCCAGACCCTGCACAAAGGTTTGGAGAACAGACACACATTTCCCACAGACCCTGAGGTGACACCCTCAACAGCACAGGATCAGTCCTGGGCAAACCTGAGGGGAAATGCTGAGCCACAGAACTCACCAGTGACCACTGACTGTGTCTGGGGATTGAGCACAGCCCCCAGACAGCCCCATGTCCTCCACACGATGAGCATCCCTGCCAGGGTGAAACAGGGGGGGCAGGCAGAGCGTCCCCCACCCACACAGCCCAGAAGCCATCACCCAGCTACAGCTACAGGGGGGTGCAGGTGATTCAGTGCCTCACTGAATCACTCGAGACAAGCCAGTTGGGTCAGCCCAGGGACTGTCAAGAGCCAGGAGCCCCATCCATGCCCCTCTGACAGGAGGGCCTTTCCCTCCAGAAAGCCCCAGGACATAGGCCAGGAAGCTGCCCTTTGCTGGGGCTTCGGTTTCTCTTCCTCATTCATCATTTCCTCTTTGGCGTTAAGCATCAACACAGGAAGCTGCTTCAAAGACGTCAGGTCGGCTGAGAAATCCAAGCAACTTTTACCTTTAATTGTGCAGTGAGCCCAGGCACCAGCGTGCCCATGGCACAGGCTGGGTGTAGTGACTCAGCTCAGCCAGCCCTGTGTGCACCTGCACGGCTCCAGCTTCCAAGGATTAAGGGTTAACAGAGTAACTCCACCTTCCCCTTTCTACATCTGGTGTACAAACCAGCAGGGCTGAACCGGCCTGCACCAGGGTGGGCAGCAGAGGGAGCGAATGGAAACACCTCCCCCTGCACTGAGAGATGAGCTGAGTGTTTGCCACAGCAAAGGGCCTGCGTTGGATTTTTGCTGGAGCCCTCCCCACATGTGCCCCATGAAACAGCCATGGTGATGTCCCCTGGGACAGAGTAACTCACATGTAACACAGAATCACTGCATTGGAAGAGACTCGAGTCCAACCCATGCCTTAACACCTCAACTAAACCATGGCACCGAGTGCCACATCCAATCTTGTACTAACTGCGGCTTTTCATCATGTAAAAACCATTACTAACAAAAAAATCCCCAAACCAACCAATCAACAAAATTGCAACAAACAACAAACCAAAAACCCCACTAGCAGGAGGAAACTGCAACCCTGCCTGCTTGCCCTGCCTGTGTGAACTAACGTGCAGTGCCCTCAGACATGCCACACTCCAGAGCCCTTTCAATCACCGCTGCTCCTTGGAGTAAAACCCCGCCCTGCGCCCGTGTGGCTAACGAGAACAGCAACAGCCTTCACTATATCCAAAGCGTACCAAAAGCCAGAGTGGAGCTGTTGGTAACAGTACCCCACTCCCTGCTCTCTCTCCTCTGTCCTGCCCCCTTCCTCCTTCAGCTCCATGTCGTCTGAGCTGCTTCTGGTTTCATGCTTTTGACACCTTCTGCACAAGGAGTTCAACCACCACTTTAAGTACAGGAAAACAGTGATCTGAATGGCAAATGATGCATGTTTAAGACACTAAGGGAAGTTTATTCTAACATTTTCCATGGCCGCATATAAAACAACAAATAAAACACTATGGCTGTGCCAAGGGAAATGCTGGCTTAGGAACAGATGTCCAGGCAGAGAGGACTTTTTCCACAGAAAAAGGAAGTGATGCATTAAGCAACATTTTGCAGAAAGCCCAGCAGCAGTTCTTCGCTCCTAGCCCAGCTTTCTTTTCCAGGAGATGCCAAAGATCGTGACTCATTTTAAAAGCAGTTTTTACGGTATGAAGCCCAAGAGCCCTGTGGCTTTGGATCAGCCAGCCTGGTTCCCCTCCAAGCAAGAGACCCTGCTCCAGAGTACAAGCCATCTGTGGATGGAATTAACTGAACCCCTCGGCTTCTGAGCACACCCCAGTAAGAAAACACAGAGCTGAACAGAGGTTTAAGAGAGCTTTAATAACAGAAGGTGCTGCGCTGGTTACAGACGACGTCCACGGCGACCACCCTTCCTGCGAGTGCTGTCGGAGGGGATGGGGGTGACATCCTCTGCAGGGAAAAAATCCACAACAGTTACCCCCCAGATACCCCCAGAAACCACCTGGGCACAGCCATCAGCCAACACTTCAGCACCTGGACACCACAGGAGCTGCTCGTGCAGAAGGAACTCTCTGTGAAGGTAGTTGGGAACGTGTCACAGGCTGGGTACCCAGGGCTTTAATGCTTTGCAAGCAGAAATTCCCATCTCTTATCCCATTTAAATAAAGCAACCAAAGCAGTTCAAAAGAAACATGGGATGCTTGAAGAATTTTCAGCCTAACCACCACCACTGCATCTTGTGACTTCCCTGAAGTTCAGGACTCTCCCTACAACAGCTGGAAAACTCCATTATTACTGAATCACCAAGACCAACAAGGTATTTTTAGGTGACAAAAGAGCTGTGTGACAGCAGAGGAGCAGCAGCATCCTGCTCCAAGCTGGGGCTTGCCCTGCACACAGAAGCCTGGCTTCTGAGTACTGCTCTCACCACCTACTGGTCAATTTGTCAATTTAAGGAACTGTTTATATGAAATCCTTTCATTGGTGCCATCTAAGCAGCCATGAAGAAAGTGTCCAAGTTAAGATCAAGCAGCACAAATGCCTACAAAGCTCATTTCACTAAATAATCTTTTTTTCCTCACTCACCAATGCGGCCAATCTTCATTCCAGAGCGGGCCAGAGCTCTCAGGGCTGACTGGGCACCAGGTCCAGGAGTCTTGGTCCTGGAGGAGAGTCAGAACCAACAACCCCTTTAATAACCCAGAAGCTGAACACAGTTTACAAACAGCCAGAAATATGAAAGCCACACTTTTCCCATGCCAAACCACTGTTCTTGTCTTCCACACCCATTCACCACCAGCCCCCACAGGCACGTCCCCATCAGTGTCCCAACCCTCCTGCTGTACCTGTTGCCCCCAGTTGCACGCAGCTTGATGTGCAGGGCAGTGATGCCCAGCTCCTTGCACCTCTGGGCAACATCCTGGGCTGCCAGCATGGCTGCGTAGGGCGAGGACTCGTCTCTGTCTGCCTTCACCTTCATCCCACCGGTCACACGGCAGATGGTTTCCCTACAGAAGGAAAAGGTGATGTTAAAAAGAAAGCCATTCCTTGTTCTTCCCCCAAACCAGAATATGGGCACAGTCAGAACCTATTATTTCCAATGTTACCAGATCAATAAGCCACACAGTACCCTGAACACCACCTTGATCAGAAGAGCTCACCAAGCCACCCAGTTCATGTATATGCACCATGCATGAAGCTCAGCAGAAACTCGGGGATTTTGGTGGAACCTCTTGCCAAACCCAGTTTCTACTTTCACACCCGAAGGAGCTGGGTACTGCAGTGAGGTGATGCCTGTCCCATACTCACTTGCCAGAGAGATCAGTCACATGGACAAAAGTATCATTGAAGGAGGCAAAGATGTGGCAGACGCCAAACACATTCTCTCCTTCAGCAACCTGGGGTCCCAAGCTGATGACCTGCTCTTCCTTCTTCTCCTTGCCCTTACGAGGTGCCATTTCTGAACAACAAGGAAAGAGATGTCTGAGCATTGGTAGTTTGTCAGCATTTGTAAATAATTTTATTGAATTCCTGCTAATTCAACCTTTTACCAAGCAAGAAAAAATTATTTACCACTGGCAAAACACAGGTACATTTCTTATAAACCCCATGATTCCCAGTTTTGCTGTATCCTGGCACACAGGTCATCATCTACAGTTGTTTAGTGGAGTCTCTCCTGCTGCACTTCATGGTAGCTGACATCCCCAAGTCTCACCACAGCAGTGCACAAGGGAGCTCATTTCCTTAATAACCAGCAATGCTGAGCGTTTCCCCTTGTTTATGTGAGTTTATGGAAAGAAAACACCAAACCAAACAATTACACAGACTCAGTATTGCCAGTAAGCCGTGAATCTACAGACCTTTTAAGTACCAGCTTGGGTTCTTCCATATTATTGGCCTCCCAACCACATCCGTGGGACTAGCCCAGCTAAGTCTCCCGCCCCCGAAGCCCACACCAAGTGATGGGAGACAGCAGGGGCAGCGCCGGCTGTGCTCGGTTTCATGGCTTGGGATCCTGTGCATCCACTGCCAAGCACATCAAAACGGTTCCCTATTGCCCTCTCCTGCCAAACTCCTGCTACAGCCGGCGACCCGCACACGGGAGATGTCCAGGCACTGCACCGAGGTACCCAACCCCAACACAACCCACGATCACCCTCGGTCGTGCCTCTCCACCAACTGCCCTGAGCGCTCTAACACCAATTTACATCAGTGTCTGCGCGGCCACTTCGATAGCACCACTTCTCGACACATCCATGGCGCACGGGCCACACGGGCAGTGCTCTCTCCAGCCCAGCGAGGCCGACACGGAACGCGCGGCGCACGCTGTACCGCCGGCATCGAGCTCCGAGCGACGAACGCGTCTCGTTTCACCGCGACCGCGACCGCTCAGGGTCCGAGGGAGGCCCGGCCCAGGGCCCAGCAGCCCCAGCCGGGCGCTCCGCCACTCCAGCCCGCGGCTCGCCCGCGGCCCGCGGCCCCGCTCCGCCGAGCGCGCTGCCCCGCGCAGCCCCGGGGCCGCGGGGGCGGGCGGCGGGCGCGGGGGCCGCGGCGAGGCGCGGGCGGGCGGATGGCGGCGGATGCGGCGCGGCCCGGACTCACCTGCCCGTCTGCTCCGGCGGCCGCCGCGGAAAGGAAGCGGCGGGGCAGGGGGCGGGGGTCACCGCCTCACCCGGAAGGGATGGCGGGAGGCGGCGTGTCCGCTGCCGCAGGCGCAGGGCTGTGTGCCGGTCCCAGTCCCGGTCCCGGTCCCGATCCTCCCGGGCCGGCCAGCCCGTGCCCGTCTCTCCCGAGGCCGAGCCGCTGTGCCCAGGATGGCGCGGTCGCCTCTCCCCTCACAGCTCTCCCGCCGGCCCGACCGCCCCAAGATGGCGGCGGCCTCCCCCCGCTCCCTCCCCAAGATGGCGGCGGCCTCCCCCCCCCCGCTCCCTCCCCAAGATGGCGGCGGGCTCGGGGGTGTTCGCGTTCCACACGGAGGAGGCCCGGGAGAGCTTTGGAAAAGAACCTGTTTAAAAAAACAGCTGGAGGGAAATGGGTGTGTTGCAGAAGCATCCTGCTTCCCCCCGGCTTTCCCTCTCGCTCCGCTGTCAGGGCTGAGCATGGCGAGGGGTCCCGGGGGTCTCCAGGCAGCTGCTTGTCCCTGACCCGAGCTCAGGCCAGAGCCCTGACTGTGAGGAGGTGTTTGGGAATTCAGCCACAAGAGAAAGCATGTGGTGGTTTAATATGTCTGAGTGGCATATTTTTGTCCAGGAGCTGATGGGAAACGTTTCAGTCGCAGGGATTCTCGCAGGAGCTCTGGCAGCTGGTGGGAGAAGCAGAGACTGCAGCTGTGAACTGTGAGCAATGGCACAGGAACACCTCCCTGCGCTCTGGTGGGGGAGGTTTGTTCTACCTCAACAAAGAGAATGCCAATTTGTACGTTTTTTACATAAAGGTGGTCCAACAAGGCAGTATTTTCTGTTTCCAAGTGATTTAAAAAGTGCTCAGGAAAGAAGGATGGGGAACAGCAAAAACCTTGGGAACAGAGGCACAATGAAATTGAGTTTATAGTGCTGTGAGATGCTTCCTGGGCATGATGCTGCCAGCTGCTTCACGTGGTGCTGAGCTGCCTCTGGGACACAGAGAGCTCTGAGCCACATGGGCTGGGGTGTGAGTGACAGCAGGAGCACCTGTGGGTCCCTACATGGGAACGCCTGACAGACCTTCAGATCCGCGCCCAGAACTGTGCTCAGAGCTGGGCTGATGGAGGAGAAGCAGCTGGAAAAGGGAGGCTCCTTATAACAGCACTGATAGTGAGGCTGCGCAGCCAAAGGCCTGGAGACATCTGCAGGGAGGGTCCAGCACCTCTGTATGACAGGGTGCCTGGTACTGGCCTGTCAGAAACTTCTGCCTCCCTTCTCGTGTCCATCTCCTCTGCAGCTGTGGGTGCTGTTTTTTAGGGTAGAATCCACTTGCCCATATTGCCCATCCAGAATTCCTATACCTTTTTCTTTCTCTGGCCAAGTATTCCAGGATGCAAACCTCTGGGCTGCCACCAAGGAAAAGAGGTTTGGTCCTTCAGGCTCCTTGTCCCCCTGCACCCCTCCCACCTGTGCTGGGATTTTTCCCTGGTAAAGTGCTCTGCTCAGGGATGCCATCTTGACCTCATGGAACACCTTCACTTGCTCCTGTGTTCGATTTGCCACTGCATCAGGGATCTTCCTGTTTGAATATTGAAGGAGAGGCTTTTAAAAGACACACTGGCAGAGCTGCTGTAATTCCAGCCGGGAGCTCCAGTGACAGCAGCTTTGGCCTGACTTGGAGGAAGGGGGAAGGAAAGAGTCAGCAGCAGGGAGTGCTGCAGAGGTCAGCCTGTGTCAGGGCATGTGTGCCGTGGGTGCTCTGTCTGAGGAGGAACCTGGGGATGGTGAGGGGGGGACAGGCAGCCAGGCAGGGTGGGTTTGTCCCTACGGAGCCACGTGTGCTGCTCTGCCTGTGACAATCCTCCAAGAGGATTGTACGAGCCTGTGGATATTCCCCTGGAATATATTCCCCTGGAATAAAAGCAAACCAGAGGCAAGGAAATGGACAGGCCTCCACTTATGGGCAACAGGCTGAAATAACCATATGAGCTGCTAAAAGAATGAACTCACTGGTTCAAAATCCTATGCTGCCCTAAGCCCCAGAGTTGCTGGGAGACAGACTGATCCTGGTCCCTCCAGCCTCTGTGCAGGATGGAATTTTCTCCACTCCCTGGGACACATTCATTCCCTTTCACTTTGCCTTGCACTAGTTCTGGTGTATCTGCAAGGGAGCTGCCTGCCCTGCAAGATGTTCCTGGGGCTGGAATGCCAGCTCCAGGCAGGCTGTCCTGCTGCTGAGGACAGCGCTGGGAGCGTTCCCTGGCTGGAAGGAGAAGGGAGGGGCTTTCAGCAGGGGCTGCAAGGATTGTGTCCTCCAGCCTGGCTGGGAAGGATGCTCAGGCCACTGTGGGGTTAGTGCCAGAAATTATGTGTATTTGCTTTGAGAAATCCCCCAGATTTAGTTCCTTAATGGGTAATTAACATTCCAGCTGCTCCTTGGTAATAGCTTCTCCAGCCCATGGGAAACCCACAGACACGGTGACGCTGCAGGCGGATTTCATAACTCAGCTGGTGACTAAACAAAAAGGGCAGGCAAATGGGAATGCTGCTCCTAACGTCTTCTCCTGTCGGGCTTTGGCCTTGGGGTAAACTGGTTCAGGCTGAGAGGGGTCACTGGGAAGTGACTGGTCTGACCTGCAAAGGCCCCAGCTCCAGTCTTCCCACAAGAAGGAATTTTTGGTGCTCACATATCACTGTCTTCATTGCTGTGGCTTGTTCCCATGAGCCATGGACTAGTGGCCTTACTGGTGGCCTTGAAACAGAAACTGGAACTGGAAGAGGCCAAAATTCCCCCTGTAGCAGGCTGAACCCCAGCTGCCTGGTACGGAGCAGAGTCTGCAGCTGTGGCTCTCTAGCAGACCCCTCAAGATGGCATCTCTCCTCTAACAGCTATGCAAAGAAACATTCAGGGTCCCAATTGCACCATTCACAGGTAAAAAAAACCCGCAAACTTTCCCATTTGCTTTTAAGGCCATTTTTATTTCCAAGAAGGGCAGTTGGTGCATGCACACATGTAAAATGATGTGTCAGAAACAGGCGTAGGAAGATTAAAACAGAAATCTCCAATGCTGAAGTTAAAGCACTTAAGGAATTGGCAGAGACTTCAAGAGCGAGTTTCTGGTCCTAATGAAGTTGGTGGAAGTGCTGCCATGGACTTCAAGGGGACCATAATGTGGCTGTAACTCAGTAGGGAGCTGGAAGTGTTGATTAATAAATTGGAAACAATGCGGAGGAAAGCCGCTGAACTGCTTTCTGACAGATGTGCTGAAGAAGAGCCTGTAGCTTGAAGCACGCAGGAAAGGAATTGGTTTCCTTTGTGTTTGCAAACAGAAGACAGGCAAGAAAAAAATCTACCTGATACTCATGTAAAATGGCAAAGCTGGTATTAATAAATCCCAGTGCCTTCCTGAGCAGATTTCTGTTTCCAGTGAGTTGTTTTTTTCTTAAAAAAAAAAAAAAGTATTCACAAATGCCAGACCTAGAATTCAACAAATTCCTTTTTCTCAGAAGAAATTATTCAGTGGAAAACTTTACCGCTTGAGATTGTGGATTCTGCAGATTGTTCTAAGAGTTTGGTGCGTGCCTTTGATTACTCATTGTTGGCTTTTTGCTCAATGATTTGTGCATGAATCTCCTCTGGCGGAGGTTAGTATGGCCTTGGAATGCTGTTCCCAGGGGAGATATTTTTTTCAGGCTGAGTTTGCAAATCATTTAAGGTTGGAAGAAATAATCCCTTAATACCCTTTACAGCAGTTCGCAATTGAAAAACTTGCTGTTTGTCCCTTTTTGTTTTCTGAGCTTTCAAATAACTTTGGCATTTGCAAAATATTCAGTGATCTTCAGAGAAAATGCTTGTGAGAAAGTGAAATGTTTAAGGATAAGAAGTCTTTGACTTCAATGAACACTTTGAAAATTTGCAGCCATAATAGTCTGCCATTCTTTGTGTCTCTTTCCCTACAATTTCCTTTCTTGTTTTCCTTTTGTTTGTTTATCTGCTTGCTCCATTTGATTGAAATTGCTTCCTCGACTCTTGTTCAGTCGGAAGCTCTCCCAGAGTATGCTGCCTAAACCAAACCCAACAGACCTTCTGCCACTTCTCATCCCCACGGGCTGGACATGAAACTTGTCCCCACAGGCTGGAGACGAAACCTGACAGGGCTGTCTTAATGCACCACATCGCTTCTAACATGGGCAGTGAGACAGACCTGGGCTGCTTGTGTGGGTGATTAACTCCGGACCGGAGCGTGTCTCCACATGCCGGCACAGTCCCCAGCAGCCTCCGAGAGCAGGGCAGGAGTGGAGCAGCTCCTTTCCCCCCTCTCTGAGGAATGAAGGGAATTTTGTGCGTGTTGGTTGGGGGCAGCCAGACAGTGACTTGGATGTGGCCCTTGAGCTTATCTTGGAATAGGGAAGGAAAAGCTGAAACGATATGATACCAGCACCCTGAAATGACACCTGGGTTCTGCAGATGGGCAGGAGGCTGGGGACCTCAGGCTTGACCGGCTTTAAAAATCTGACACAAAGGGTGTGTGCACACTGGGGGAAGGATGAAAAGGTTCTATGTAGGATCCCGACACGCCAATTACACCCAACACACAGCCTGGGCCATACCCTTAGGACACCGCACCGTGCTCATCCCGGGAAACAGTGGGAATGTGGGGGCCCGGTGAGAGCCTGGCCGAGCACGGGGATCATCACAGGCACCCCGGGCGCGGGGATCTGAGCCCTCCCGCCGGGGATTATCGCCCGGCTCACGGTCACGCCGGAGGGGCGCGGAGCGGGGGCTGCGCTGGCAGGGCAGTGGGGCGGGGGCAGCCCCGAGCCCCGCGCGGTCCGGGCCCGGCCCCGGCTCCGGCCGAGCCGCGGAGCCCCGGGGCGGTGCTGGCGGGGGGCGGCGGGGCGGCGCCTGCCCGGGCGGCGGGCGGGACGCGCCGAGCGGGGCCGGGCCGGCGGAGCGGGCGGCGGCAGCCTGGCGGAGCGGAGAGGAGCGGAGCGGAGCGGGCCCGG